CCTCTGACCGATTCCCCCCTGCAGGCCTTTGCAAACCTCCACCACCACCACCACCATGGGCCAATGGGATTTGTAGCATTCTAAGGTCTGGGATTGCTTGAAAACCCCCACACCAGTGAGAACACACCCTTGTCCTGTGTCCTCCACCAAACTCTTCCCCATCTGTCTGGAATGCAGATATTTTCTATTCAATTTGTTCAAAGATGGCAGCAACGGATAGGCAGTGTCTGGGCTCCTGAGCACAGGACTCATCCGTTCCATCTGCTATTCTTTTCTTTTCTCTTTCGTTTTAGTTTTTGCTTCAACTTACCTTGTGGGGAGAGCTTAGTCATGGCAGCATCAATGAGGGAGGTGGCTTTGTTGGAGCCCAGAACATGGCAGCATCTGGTGAGGACTCTGGCAGTGGCATCAAGGATGCGGCTGGCGGAGGAGCGAGCACAGAATCTGGCATCAGCTACTACATCAGCAGGGGCAGCGTTGGCGAGGTAGGCCTAGCGGTGAAAGATGGTGCCTGAGGAATGACAAGTTCAATGTTGGTTGGGTCTGGTCCTGGCAGATTAGAAGTGGCAGAAGGGTCATGGACTCTCTTTAAGCTTTTTTTTGGTTTTCTTAAACTGTTCAAAATGGTGCCAGATCATAGCAACAGTAGGAGATTTTCACTGTATTTTGTATTTTTTTTCACGGTAAAATACACGTGACAATAAAATCATTCATTCAGATGTTATTACATATCCCTGGAGCAGGTGGATCTTGAACCCGGGCCTCCTGGCTTAGAGGTAGGTACACTACCACAACACCACAAGAGCTCTCTGACTGGAACCCAAGCCTGATTGATGAGTACCTGCTATGCAGTTCAAATTCTAAATTGAGTGGAAAAATATTGACTTCTGAGATCCCATACCTTTCTAACCCGTACAATCCCAGTGGCTTAGGTAAGTACAAACCCAGGCCATTGTTACAGCCACTGGAGGGACAGAAAGAGGAAAACCAGACCCCAGAAATGACGATTCAAAGCAAGTTAATACAATCTGGGAGAAAAATGATAAAGATTCTTATAAACCATCCAGTTTAAGACATGTCCACAGAAGGAGACAATAAGCAGCAATTATATTAATATTAGTCCTGTGTTGTGTACTGGATGCTGCCAGTTACCTTTCAGAATTAGTGATTTGATTGGAACCACTGAGACATTAAAAAATCTGACTGAATGTTTGCCTGTGGGGAACATTTAGCACACTGATAAAATAATTCATAATTCAGATTCTCTTCAGTGACCTCACAACCAGCTGCAAAGAAGAGAGCGGCTATTTCAGAAACATCTCAGTAATTAGTTTGAAATAAAATTGTTGCACAGTGAGAACATTTGCACAGAATAAAAATGTGTGGGAGAAAAGGTGTCATTTTAATAATTTTACACAAAGTATAATTGCAGGTTTGCTATCACTGTTGGCAGGACTTTTTATGCTGGCAGCGAATTGTACAAATTGCACTAATTAAGGCATTTGATCACTTCCCTGTGACTTCAGACTTGCAGTAAGGAGGCAAAAATGTAAAGTTACTGTTTCAAGTCCAGTGACCCTTCTTCAGAACAGTTCAGCTCTGAAGAAGTGTCGCTGGACCTGAAATGTTAACTCTGCCTTCTCTCCACAGATGCTGCTGGACCTGCTGAGTTTTTTCCAGCAATTTCAGTTTTTATTTCTGATTTACAGCATCTGCAGTTCTTTGATTTTTTTTCTTTAGTCTTTAAATCTTGAGTTGTTTTTCAATGACCTAGTTCTGCATGTTCTGCATGACCTAGTTCATGTTTAGCTTCCAACAATTCATTGATGAGCTAAATGGTATGTTTTGCTACAACAAATATCAACAAATTGAGGGGTGAATTTTCACAGGCACATCTCCTGATTGTCCACTGCCTACATTCCCATACAGTTCTGGTCACATCATAACACCACAGAACCACAGAATTGTTACACACAGAAAGAGGCCATTCAGCTGGTGGTGAGAAGGGCACTGTCCATCAGATCATTTGCGCACACCCCGACTCTCTGCGCCCCTGTGCACTACCCTCGAGATGGCTGCAGTGGTGAAGCAATCATTGCACATCTCTTTCTCCAACGTGCATTGTCAAAGAAAGTCTGGAGAGAGATGCATTAGTTTGTGTTAAGGTTCGTCCTAAATAGCTCTTTGATGGAGGACTCTGTTGCTCTGTGGGCTGTTCCCTGGAACACACACTGAGACAAACATCAACTGTGCCTGGAGGACCATCAACTCGGTGAAAGATGCTCTTTGTTCTGCCCGAAACTTGTTGGTCTTCAGTGTAGAGGGTTGTCTTTGATCAAGTGTTGCAGCTTGGCATATTCCAAGGTTTAGGACTGTGCGCTGAGGGACAGACTAAAGCTTGGTGCTGCGAGAGAAGGCCACTGTCTTTCTGCTATAATGTACCAAAGGTATGTTAACTTATGGAACCCCTTGTAGCTTTTATTGGAATGTATAAAGTTTCTGGTCATATTTAGTTAATGTTCCAATTTCACAGTTGGATTGAGGCACCTAGGGAGTGCAAAATGCTGAACTGAGAAGCATATGACTTTTCACCCAATCTTTGTATGTACTTATAGATAATTTATGAATAAAGTATATTTTGGCAAAAATAATCTTCCTTGACTCCATGTAGTCTAAGATTAATTAACTCAGCATAGCTCAGAGAACAAATCTGGAATCCTATGTTTTGCAGCACTCAGGTACACATTAGGAAGGGGAGAGGAGAGGAATTTTAAAAAAAAATCCTATTTGAGCCTGTGCTGGTTGTGGAGATGAAGGAGATCTCTGCTCAGCCACAATAAATTAAGTGACAGTACAAACATGGCAGCAAGTAATGAATTGCAAAGGGAACCAGAACAATTATCCTGAAACAAACAGCCAAATTAGACTTAATTAGCTTAGAGTACCTATGCTGGGGGTAGGTGACTGAACTCAGGATGCCCTTAGGGCTTGGCTATTATGCTAATATAGTCATTCATGGGCTGTTCCTGGAAGGTCATTATTTATTTCTCTGGAACAAACACAGAACGCTGGAGAAACTCAGCAGGTCAAGCGGCACGTGTGGATAGAGAAACAAGAGTTAATGTTTTGAATCAGAGATAGTAGGAACTGCAGATGCTGGAGAATCCAAGACAACAAGGTGTAGAGCTGGATGAACACAGCAGGCCAAGCAGCATCATAGGAGCAGAAAGGCTGACGTTTCGGGCCTAGACCCTGAAGGGTCTAGG